ATGTCAAGTTGGTTGATTCCTATGATAGAACTTAACTCGATCCGGGAAGGCTTGCCTCTGTCCCACGAAACTAAGAAAGGACCTCCTCAACAAACACGGTACTTATCACCTGGAGAACATGGAGGAAAAGGAAGAGGAAAGGGACGTGTGGAAATCAATCTGTAGGAATCCAATGTCCAGGAACCTAACTAGGTACAAATGGTGTCAATGCTAGGTATAACTACATATGACTGAGTATGACTATGTGTTGTTATTTTGGTAATTCTCTCTGCAAGGTATAACTACGTATTACTGCGTATGACTGTGTTTTGTTATTTTTTGGTAATTCTCTCTGCCAGATATAACTATGTATAACTAAGTATTACTGTGTTTTGTTATTTTTTGGTAATTCTCTCTGCCAGGTATAACTATGTATAACTAAGTATGATTATGTATAAATTGTATGACTATGTGTGACTGAATATGTCTGTGTCGATTATGTTGTCTCTTTTTTTCTTTACATTTTGTTTCCTTACTATGTCTATTTATGTACCTATGACTGTGTCTACCTGATACTTAGGTAGCACTAGAAACATACGGATAATTTCAAAGAATTTAGAGCAAAACATATATTTTTACTAAAATTATACCTTATACATATGGTTCATGTATGAGTTATTAGCCACTTTGTTATGTGAAGCATCCGATTATGGTGTTGTCNGANATTNTAGTATANGAAATGATAGNAAATATATTTAAANTGANCAATTGGGTCAATACTACTAGAAAAGTTATAATCTTATGTACTTACTACTGGTTATACGTGAAAACAGTCGAAATATAACTATATGCAAACCAGTACTACTTGAAAACCAAGTATGACTATGAGTAAAGTAAATACAATTTTTATTTCATTTTGCGGCGCACGTGTTAAGTGTTTTTTATATTTTTATTAATAAATTATTGATAAAAAATGTGATAAACGTGTTTTGATTATCTTAGTAGTTGCATAATACACAGTAGTACTCAGTATTACTAGTAGTACAAAATCCAAAACATTATAAAACATGAGTTTTTCTTACCTAAAAACACAAAAGAACATCAACCTAAAATAACAGTTCAACCATCANTAGACTTTTAATGCCTAAGTCATTCCCTAAAAACACAAAATANCATCAACATAAATCATTCCGACTCTCACTTCTTTATCCATTCTTTGTCTTCTTGTTGTTGGTCTTACGTGCTACTCCGGTCTTTTTCCTTTTCGTCCCAATCGTTTTCTTAGCTCCATCCGCTTCCACAGCTCCATCCTCTTTCTCAGCTCCAACATCTTTCTCAGCTCCATCCTCTTTCTCAACTCCAACCTCTTTCGCAGTAGCTTTCCTGGTCTCTTTTTTTTTCCCATCTGCTGTAAAAGGTTCTCTCTTGTACATAGATGGCTTCTTCTCCCTATCAGCCTTTCGAG